GGGAAATATGAACAAATGAACGATTTACATGAAGATTCCTAAACGGATAAGGAAAAACGACCAGGTGTTCCAGAAGGATAAGCGTCTTCTACTTCATCGACCACACTTGTGTAAATCTAGATCAGATCTGAATAATGTCACTTACTATAATAGAGAAAGAGGTCGAGAAGGGAAGTCTTTTCCTGCATCACAAACGTTATCAAATGATTTGAAATTACGTGAACGGTTTCAGTTTTCTTCGCTTAATTTTTTAATTGAAAGTCAAAGTACCTTTACTATGCCATATTTTACAGGTCAACTTACCTTTTAAGATGACAGATTCAAGCACATATTCATTCTTTTCCCTCACGTTCTTCATTTTCAAGAGGAAAAACCTAGGATCAGCTTCTTGTAAAGACGTCATCGATGTTATGTCTTCCGAGCCAACGGGGCAATTCTTCGTTTCGACAGAGAAAATTACATTTTGTTAGCAATTAATGTTTACATATAGAACCATCATATGAATTGAGGTAGTTGTTTGCTCATCGGGCCAGTATAGCCGTGCACAACATCTGATAATGTTTATCTTGCAACTGCTTATTTGTAAAAATAAATTGTAACAGATAATGAATGAAAGTGAGAATACTGCCTTACTGGCTGGGACGTGCTCACTAGTATATCAACGTCGAGCATGGTCAGGGGCTTGAAGGGTGCCTGTTCACATGTTGCAAAACAAACTATGAAAACCAAATTTACCTTCTTACCTAAATGATGTTCATTCATTTGGTTTTATTTTGTACGAAGTTTGTTTTGCGACATTTTTGAACGTTAAGATATTTCAATCAGATAGTGCCTGTGTTTAATCTTATCCATCATGCAACGATAACACCTGTCAAATCAAGGAAAGCATACCGGTTGCTACCATAATTTGAATTTAACATCAATCAGTCCAAGTTACTATGTTAAGTTTCTCTTAATTGATAATCAATCACTTAAATTAGTTACATGCATATTACATGAAATAATTACATTGGGTTTCTCTAAGTTAAATACTCTGGCAATGACAGTAAAAAATACTAGCACTTAATTGTTTTATAACAGTCGATTTAAGATAATATGTATCTGTTATCAACATGAAACTTACCGAGAGGTCAACAGACGACCAGTTTTTGACAGATACGTACTTCTCCGTTCCTACCGGCTGAAGAATACATAGGAAGCAACTTTGGTTTTCACTATGCTGTTTTTGAAAACCATGAAATATACTTTTTCTGAAATGAACTGAAAGAAAATAAATTTTGCTTTTGTCATTATTGCTTTTTCAATTTTAAGAAATATGGTCTCTGCTTTCTGTCATCATTCATGTAGATCTAAAGTTATATTATCATGTGTTTTGTTATATGTTCCTTTATTTAAATATAAATAACAAAGTTACCAATTCAATATTGGTTGAGCCTCAATATTACTTTTTGTTCCCAATTATAACTGTAAAATACAGAATTAACATATATTTGAAATTATTATGAAGGAATGCCACATAACATGTTGGTCTGGTTTATAATTGCTATCAACTCAACCAAACAAAAACACAAACAAATATATAAAAAATATATAGAACATTTAAAATAGCGAAATACTATATAACCAACAAACCCCGGCTAAATAGCTAGGCAACTAGGCCATTGAAGCCTGAGGTAATGTGATATATTACATGATGTGTCGGTTCGGGAAGGGAGATTACTCATGGTCAGCTTTCCGTCTGTCCCACATTTTAGATAAAGCTGGGATATCGGCGTGTCTATGGCTAGCAGACATACATCAGTCCCCTTATGATGTATACAGTAGACAGCGGAAAAACCAGAGAATCTGCTCAAAATTGTGGTTCTTGTAAACAAAGCAACAGCTGAGCCAACACCTCCTACACCTCCTACAAAACACAATCAATCTCATTTTTCTAAACGGTTTATATCTTCTGTACTTAACAGAATTAAATATCATTTAAAAGGTACAACTGTACCATTGTGCATACAGACGAGGAGTTGAACTTAAGAGTAATTTTTTTTCGACTTTCAGCATTTTCCTTTAATATATTACAGATTTAATGGTACTCTTATCTTAATGCATATATTGCAAAGTAGTAAAACGTGATGTTGTCACTGAAAATCACATATTTTCCCAATTGATTTATGTATGTTATATTATAGGCCTTATGCATGCATATTATTCGATATTTTTATTAAAGATATTTATTCCTTTTTTGTTCTCTCTGCAAATTTGCAAAAACGAAATCTAATTTACGAAAGATGTTTATTATGGTATAAATATTTCTATTTAGATAATTTAAAAAGATCAATTAATTTGTTTATCGGCTCTGGGTCTACGAAATTAAAATATCTCGTTTATGATGATGAAAGTTTACCCCGAGATATAAAATAGTCCACCTCTATTTCAAAGGTCGTAACGGTGTCTTTATCTGCATCGGTCCATTCTTTTCTTTCAATTACCTATAATTAGAAAAAAACCGTATGAGAGACGAGACATAGTTGTGCAGTTGAAGTGGTTTAAGGATGTTATATAAGAAATGAGGTATAGTTGTGTAGTTGGAGGGGTTTTAGGATGTCCTATAAGAAATGAGACAAAGTTGTGCAGTTGGAGCGGTTTTAGATGTCATATAAGAAATAAGGCATAGTTGTGTAGTTGGAGCGGTTTTAGGACGTGCTATAAGAGATGAGTTGTAGTTGTGCGCTTGTAAGGATTTAAGGATGTCCTATAAGAAATAAGGTATAGTTGTGTAGTTGGAGCGGTTTTAGATGTCATATAAGAAATAAGGCATAGTTGTGTAGTTGGAGCGGTTTTGGATGTCATATAAAAAATAAGGCATAGTTGTGTAGTTGGAGCGGTTTTTTGGACGTGCTATAAGAGATGAGTTAGTTGTAATTGTGCGCTTGTAAGGATTTAAGGATATCCTATAAGAAATAAGGTATAGTTGTGTAGTTGGAGCGATTTTTGGGATGTCCTGTGAGAGATGAGGTATACTTGTGTAGTTAGAGAGGTTTTAACCAACCCAATAATGTTGACTAATAATTTAATTGAGTGGAGACACTCGTTCTCTTGTTTCTATATATAATCCCAGGCTTGGTGGTAAAACTACACTATTGAGCAAAGTACCACTTAAACGCTCTTCTCGATTCCGTCACAACAAGTAGATATAACACTGTATGAAAATACCTCATTAAAGCGGATATATTTTACGTCAAGTGTCCTGAACACTGCACCTCGTTCAATATGTTGAGACTTTCATCATAATTACTGTAGTTACTTTGTACTAGAATACAGATTTTACCCTTATTGTATACGTAGTGTATACTGTCGCGACAGTATTATTGTTATATCTAGCCAGACAAAAAAATAACACACCAGACATGGCCCGATCGAAATAAGACCACCTGTCCAATGGTTACTTAAGGATTTTGTACCGCTACAAAAAAATGTCAATATGTAATGGAATGTGTTTTCCCACGAAAGTGTTTGTTTAACAATAGCACAGCAGCTATATCTAAAACAAACTTAAAGGCAGGTTACTGTGTATACAAAAAAGGAACCCTAGTGGAATTTTCAGTGTTTTGCATTCGATGGAACAGGAATGCTCAAGTGGTAAGATTTAAACGTTCTTTGGGATACAAGGATATATGGACATGTAAATCGTCAACTTCACTCTCGTGCGTTCTAGCATTCGATCAGAGCTTAATCTCAAACAGCAGCGGCGATAAGCTATTATTAATACACAATGACCAATCAAAATTGTTTTGGCAAACACATCCACATAAACCGCCCATTATTAATAACAAACTGACTACACATTAGGTCATGATTACAAGCGTTGCAGACGCTCTCCCTAGAAACAAATTATTTTGATCATGGGAACATCAGAAATGGTAAAAACGCAACGAAAATAAAATCTTAAAAAATGAGAAAGTAAAATGTGAAAAAGTGAGAGGTTCAAGAAAAACTGAAACAAAACGGCCTTCATAATATATATAGTTTACTATAATTACAATGGACAGACGACTTCGTTCTGGGTCAAACATCTGTTGGAGAAACTCCACAACTTCATGATGTTCCCTGCAGCTTACAGCGACGTTATTGATGGCTAAGAGTTTGTCATTTTCCCTGTAAGATAATTAAAAAAACATAAATTCATATGTAAAAACGCCTTTCATAAATGAGAAATTGTTCTACAACTAATCCCGACATTCTAACTGGGTAGAATTGTCTTGTATTGAGGACACCTGAATCTCGTCTTTGGTTAATGAAAATGTGCCTGTGCTTTTGGCGAGCGTTTTACGTTCCGAGACCAAATGTCCTCAACAGAAGAGATATATGTCTTAAGAAAATTTTAGATTTAAAAGTACTTAATAATATGATTTTGTATTGTTATACTTATGAGAAATGCTCATGTGTAACAATCACATATAAATAATGAAATGAAAGTATCTTTTAGTTTAGATATCAATTAAAGGGAAAGGCTAATTTTCCAATGTTTGTATGCTATTTACAAGGTTAAATGTATGATATCGGACACTAGATAACATTACAATCAACGCAAATCAAAACTGATACTGCGCTTAGCACTTCGAAAATCTTGGACAGTTATAGCCGTATGATTGGTGAGTTAGACAATACTTGATAATTTGACATGAGGACAGTGTGCTAGTAAGAGTGTTTTCTAGTATAAAAAGGATTATACGGGCAGTCAAATAACAACGAAAATGTAACTAAGCAAAATGGCAAATGATATCAAAGGTATCCGGAAATGACGACATAGCATCGGTATATAAATTGCATAATGGAAAAACGGCAACTGACACCATTTACTCACGTTAGATGTAATTCGGAAACCATGTAGTTATTGAAATCCAGTTCTACGATCCTAAATCCGGATTCACTTTGCTTAATCTTGAATCCAGCTTCCACTAACTCTCCAGCAGCCGTCTTGATCCAAATATCTGACTTTTTTCCACACAACCCATCGGTTTCTTTTACTTTATACTTCAAACAAAATTGAGACGTAGATTTCTCCCATTTGAATATATACATATATAACAACATTTTTAATCGTCATCTGTGCAGATTTAAAATCAAAGAAATATTTATAAAAGGCAGGTTTCCACGTTTTTATCGTTGGGATTGCCCAGCTGATAGCGCACAGGCCTTTCACCAAGAAGGGTTCGGGTAGAAAAGGTATAGGTCACCTGCCCAACCAAACATGTTTTCCCCAAACACTCCGAATTCTCCCACCATTAAGACCCCCTGCGCGCTTCCATGTACACTTGGGGAAACAAATGTGATTATTATACCTGATTGTTTTCTTTTCATATTCATTGTAAAATAAAACAAATAAAAATTCAATTTACATCACATGCATACAGTCGCGTCAAATGTAGATATGATATCATTGAGTTAATTTTTACAATTCCATATGCAGGAGGATTAGGGTTTTTATAACTTTTAAGAGCTTTGAGAATGACGCCTACACACCTTGACAAAAGTCACAGCTTTGTGTAGTTTATAATAAAGCGGACATTTTAATGGTTTGGTTTTAGAGTCCGAGACTAAAACATGTACACTTTAAAAGCAGTCTCGTTTATGCTTGGTTTATAGCAATAATAGGAAAACGTTGACATTTACAACAATTGTGTATAAATTGTGGCACGACGACTATTTCAAGCTCTCAAAAATGCCTAGTTTGTTGTTTGGCTGGCAGACACGGAAGTTCGTCTGACTATCTAGTATATGTCATACAGATTGTTATTGCATTTCATTAAAGGGGGAAAATCTGTCTTTGTGTAATTGCCATCCATTTTGTATGAATGCTAACTATATCATAGCATCGAGTGCCAAGGAATTGCAAGTTCAATGTCTAATCTTATTCATGATAAGGCCAATATCTTACCTTAATCGATGTATCGGAAGGTATCTTGTTGTGATCCGATACAGGGTAGTGTAAAATGCCAGCCATTGCTGCAAAATACATATATATAGTGTCACAATGTTAACCTTAAAGATAAATAGTAAAATAGGTGTATGCATACATATATCGTAAGGAAAACAACACGATTCAGAGCAGCCCTAAACGCTTGAACCTCTTCAACTTTCTGTACCTGTTGTTATTCTTTTCTATATATTTACTACCATGTGAATGTTTGATGGTTTTATATATTACCAAGGTCGAAACCGAAACCGGTTGTTAGGTTGTTCAATTAGGTGTCCGTCATGGGGTAGGTTTCCAACGATTTTAGACACAGGGAAACTTTATTCCTTATTTGAGATAACAAATCGCTATACAAGAAAATATCAGCCGCCAATTAAAAAAATACCGAACAAATTCTTAATAATAATCATGTGGTGAAATAAGATACAATCTTGAATCTCAAAAAGCCACACCGTCCGATAGGTAGAACGCCCAGTAGTCCCTCGTCGTTACATTGTCTTTACTCCAAATGAAAAATTTAAAATCCTAACTGGTCGCCCGGCGAATGCCCCGGTAAGCACACATCGAGCAGCCCCTCGATGAACATCTCAATGATTAATTAAACTAGTTCTGACCGGTTTAACGATCATGTGAGGCATTACCATGATGGCTCTGGTCAAACCGAGGTAAATATATTTGTCATCAACGATCTAGGACATAGGTAACATGTCTTTAAAAATGGTATTTATTGAAATGTGAATAGGATAAGGATGACTGTTAAGTTGCCTCATCTTATTAGAAATAAGTTTTTATTTTCAAAATAACGAATTATAGTGACGATGCGGTAACAAAATAAAATTTGTTTCGACAGCCCTCCTCTTCATCATGACATGAAACCTTTAAATAAATATTTAAAAAAAAAACAGTTTACATACGTTATCATACCAATAAGACATGTACATGTAAAATAACGTATGCGATCAATTAATAATACCTCATAAAAAATATTCACCATTTACCGATAGTAGCAAATTTCCGCAAAGTCAAATATTCGCCCTTCGCCGGGAAAATCCATATCCGGCCAATGTTTTGATTGTTAGTATGGTCGCATTGAAACTATTACGGTTGGGTAGCCCTGGGTTCAGGAAAATAAAATATCCCTACAGAGTTGTCAGGTATCAACTGTGTTAGGAAGTAAATATACGTCTAGTAAATAAAGACAAGGAATTTCGTAAAAAACACTACCTTACAAGATTCATACAGAAATACATGTAAGTCTCTACACAATGACGGCGTTAACAAGGTAGCTCAAACGGTTAGTGCTATAGTATAACAATCTGTGGTCCAGGAATCGCATCCTGAATGCAGGAATGTTTACACTCAGAACACTGTTGTTAACTAATTTTTCATTAATTACCTTGGTGTTTATAAATATAATGATATACGATCATGATAAATTAGCACGATCACACAGTGGACGGAACTTTGCTACAGAGCAATTTCAGAAATAAACTCACATTGTCATAGATAGGAAGAAAAAATACCGAGACAAATAATGCACTAACACTAAAACATTCAGATATCCAACAGGTAAGAATGTGCCCTTATCAAGGCTTATGAAGTAAATTATGTATTCCATGTGTTACCATGTTGTGGTGATATATAAGGACACTTACCGTGCTTTTTCCCGACGTCTATGGACATCGACTCGGAACTCGTTTGAAACAAACCTTCCGAATAAATACTTCCTGGTTTTAATGAGAAAGGAAATACCTCATGAGTCTGTCGATTCGTTATTCAAAATACAACACTCCCCTGTATCAGGTAGTATTATCAATGTACCCAGAGACTCCGTAAATGGTATGTTGTAATTTGCTATGTAATGTTGTATTGAGTTGTAAAAGGATTGGGTTTTGAACACTTGCTTGTTGTATATATTTCCGAATTTACAGTGCGTGTTGTGATCATCGGCTCCATATTGTTTTCCTGGGGTATTCCCGTTGGGGATTTCCTTCTGGTATTATATTTAGACGTTTCTGATTGGTTACTATTTTTGGGATATGTTACCTTACCTGTACAGCACTCTACACTCAGGTATGGGTCAGTATCGAGTTCAAATACTACATTTCACCTGCATTTCAAGGCACACTATTAAATTTGGCTATATAGCTGGGTGTTTTGGTATTGCAAATCAGTCTGGCAGATGCTTACATGTAGCTGGCCGGCTCGTCTTCTCCCTTCTTACCGGCAGGTATGTAGGAGTGTATTTCGGCCTTAGACCTCAAAATTATTCCGGGATGGGTGGTATTTTCCCATTGAAGGCATGTTGTAATATATTATTAGGGTGTGTTTGAACTTATTCCCCGGGGTGGGATACCGGGTGGTCATTTTTGAGAGGACATATTTTACCCAGATATGCTGTTTTAAGTATGGACCGGTCGAGTGGTTGACGTTCTGTAGCATTGTGCATATCTATTCATCATGTTTCATCTAATGTACTTCACTGTTTCATTTTGTACATAATAAATTGTTGAATTTTATAAAAATTGTTGTCATTCATTGACCTGTAGCCAGCTGAAATTAAGTCGAGACTGAACCACAGAGTTGACGAACGAAAAATCACTATAAGAGGACAACACCTTTACAGAGTATTAAATTACATTAAGTGTTCTCATCCATATCGGGCGGTCTTATGTGGTACGGAGACTTCGTATTCACAGCGTGTCAAGGAGCACCTCTTCAACAGCATCCACACGTTTGTTTATGTAGATAACCTTCTTTTCAACTAATATGTTTTTTTCATGGAAAACAGATTAAGCAAACAACACATACATGCTATCAATTTAACAAATCATAAAACTCATCGGAAATAAAAGTAGGTGATGCAAATGGTGATTAGCTATCAACGATAAACGAATGCTTTGTTTTCCTACAAGGATATTGATTAAATAATCTGTCTGCGCGCGGTGGCGAAAGCTTCTTATATGTAAACATACAAGGACACTGGTTGGAAAGTACGCTATATATATAGACAACCTGTACAAAAAGTAACAGCTTGTTTTTGAAGAGTCATAAGTAGATGGACATAAATGTTAACGTAGAGGAAAACACGTCTTGCGATAATGACGAAACACCAGGAAAAGATTCGGGTGGAAACTCTTCATGACCGGGAATACGACTTTCCCTTATCTTTCTAGTTCCTTTTTTATGAACAAGACATTGTACTTGCAAATGTTCAAAATATGTTCCATTCATCATGAAAAGAAACAATGTGCATTTAAGTTAACAATTTTACCATTTATCTTCATTTTATTTCAAATAATTCTTTTGGGAAACATTTTTATCAATAGAAACATATGAAAAAGAATTATTTGTATATGTTATGTAACTTTGTGTATTTTATATTTACATTTACTGTATTTATGATTGCAATGAATACGTCCCTCAAGATGAATCGACCACGAATGTGTATGGATGCGATGATGAGTGGAATGATGATGATGATGATGATGATGATGATGATGATGATGATGATGATGATGATGATGATGCAAATAATTTTTAAGAGAGTATAAAAATAATGAAAGTAAATATACATGTCGGAAAAAGAGAGAGATGTGAATAGTCGTATTTATGTAATTTAACAAACAAAAAATGAGTAAGTAAAAAGTGAGTGAAAGAGGTATCTACATTACGTATGGCGAACGAAAACCCTCCTACGTTGAGGGCAATCATTGTTCGGGGATTGAACCCAGGGCCCTTCAACCCTGGTAATCCTTATACCAACTATTACTGAAGAATTAAAAAAAACACAGTTAGGAGAGCATTTTTTTTTTAATGAATCTTGGTTACATAAACACTCACACATGTGGAAAAAAGTTGCACGAATTCAACAAAGACACGCTTTATGTGCCTATTGAAGTGACCCTTTTTAACCGTTCAGAAGTTACAGTCTGCATGGCGAACTAAATAGTTTACAAACGAATATACGCACATCCCCGGTCTAAATTGTCCACGTGCTCATCTCCAAATTATGGCTTTTTGTATAATATTTGATACAGCAAATGTTTTTCGACGGCTCTGTCCTACCACACTTGCACTGCATTGCACCACACACATGCATCTTTTATCACACGACTACACTATATTTCTTACCCCTTATGTAATACTTGGAGGGAAAATATTATGCTATAATGTATCATTTGCCCTTTTGTGATTTGGGTCCCAGAACAGTGTTCAGTGAGCTGATATTTGAGTCTTTTGTATATTCCTGCCTAGATAACTTTTAGAGAGGCTAACGTTGGAGTTTTCTAAACACTTACTTCAGGTTGGTAAGTATGGGTTATGAAAAGTTCTTTTTACACAACCAATGAAAACGTCTATGTGACGTTTCGATGACCAGTATGATATGTACATTGTCATCTTCATCAGACAAATGACCAGTGAAGCGAATGCACGAGAAGGTGTAAAATGTGTACGAGTTGTCAACAAAATTTATGTCGATTTCGGCTACGCTGTAAGCGTATACAATAGTTGTTATATATGTACCGAAATGACTCGATTCAGCTACGTTTAATACTTGCTCATAGATGAATTTTTATTTATTTATTATTTAGATTTTTTTATTACTCAGCATTGGAAAACATTTGTCTAATGTTGACAACAACATATTACTTATGATCGATATGTCCATGGTTGCCATAGGACTTTAACACATACAGTTTGTAATTAAACTTTTAAATGACATTTACATGAGATTGTATAAATATAGTTCACCTGTAATATACAGGTTCACCTGTAAGTGATAACAGATAACTTAACGTAAAACGTACTGAGACATATATGTCAACATACTGTTTCGTAACCTAAAAAAGTAATAAGGGAAATACACTGTCAACATAATCGTATAACTTAAAGTAATACGATCATAGTTATTTCCTCTTTGAATTTGTGAATTGATAACCGGATCAACAAAGAAAATTTCAGATTGTTGATCGGGTATAAAATTACTGATTATGAGTCTGAATAGAAATCTCATATCTTATCTATTGAAATGAGACATTTTTTAAATATCAAAATTGTTGTCATTGTTTTGTAAACAAGTGCGGTAAATCCAGGTACTTGGAGTTAGGTAAGTGGAGGACTTTGATTTTTCCAGGGCAATGCTCTCAGAAAGTAATCCGGACTAGTGAATTGTTCAGACAGTGATGCTCGTAAAGTATCGGAATGACACTTAGGTATTTGTATAGAAGGACACAGTTATTTCTAGGCTGGTTAGTTTAATGGCAATAAAACACAAAACTTTCATCGTTTGCATTTTATAAAAATATTTCAAGAAACTAAACTTTAATGAAACACGATTCAGGTATTCACCTCATAACGAAAACAACGGAAAAATGATTTAAATGTTTTCTCAAAAACGAATATTTGAGTCTGATCGTTAAGCTTATCTTGCTCAGAATAACTGGGCCAAGCAGCAAGAGCCTCTTATATTTCATATGAAATTTATGAAACTAGTCTAAGATTTTATACAATTTAGCGAGCCTATGGCGAGCTAAAATGAAAAATTCTTGACGAGTTTCATAAATTTCATATGAAATGAAAACGACTGTAAGATCCTTTTTATCATATAATCAAGATTTGTGGCATTTATTTGTGTAAAATGACACTTTTCATGCTGCTTTGAAATGTTAAAAGTCGCCATTTTGACTCAAAAAAGTAATTTTGTCATGTACTTGTCCTAGGCGTGATGTCACAATTAAAACAATTGAATCTTACAACCAATCACAAGGCTGATATTTCATATAACGTGGGTAAAATACGCAAAAAAATATGACATATGTATATTCAATGGATAACACTGTACATTATGTGATAAGATAAAGTGCTGAGCTTATCTTTAATTTTACCGTGTGTGATATGAATTCACGGAATGAACATGTATGGAAACTTATATTAAATCGTTCATTAAATAAATCTCCATACTATACGAGTAGGAATGATAATATATGTATATTAAGATTGTAATATCAACAAGATGATTATCTCTATACACGCACTTAATAAATGGTGTAACAAAGCATTTACAAATATCATCACTATTTAGACGATTGGACAAAAACTATAGGCGACAAAACAAAGATAACTAATCTAGGATATTGCTTCTATATGTACTTTAAACATTAGCAGGCCATGTAAAAAAAATGTTGGGGGGGGGGGGGATAGGGGATGATGTTCCAGTCACAAACTAGGTCATTATGTTTTACTAAATTTATATTGGTTTCTTTTCTGTAAATTTCCATTGTCCTATATATCAAAATATGTCGGAAAGTGTACATTATTGATTATAGACTTCGTGCATATCACCAGGCTTACTCAGTACAAATATTTCATGGATCATAAAAAAATCTACGACATGTTACACATAGCTTTTTTATTGAAATTGTATAGATAAAAGTTACTATATACAAGCTCAAAGCAAACAGCTTACTCAGTACAACTCTACTTAAGGAGGCTCCACCCTTTCGCAATTAACCAGCAGAGTTCAATGAAAGTTTCACATAATGGTTATTTAACTATGTAGAGATGATTTACTGGAGATTTTTTTGTAAAAAATACCGAAAAAATGGTTTTTATCAAATTTAACACTTTCTCATGTTTTGAGTGTATGGCATTGTTCAAAACTATTACCACAATAAAATAATGAATAGAAGCATTGCTAATCAGCCCTACAAATATTTTATTTATCATAAAATATCTACAACATGTTACGCAAAGCGTTTTTTATTGAAATTGTATAGATAAAAGTTACTATATACAAGCTAAAAGCAAACAGGACACATAGTTTCATACAAAAAGAGTGAAAAATTGAACCAAATACACACAAAGTCTTTATATTTCGTTTATTTTACATTTTACAATAAGTTTGATCCTGATGAGAGTTGTCTACCTTGAAAAAAATCGGAACTTTTTGTAGAGGGATAGAATTTATACAATGACAGCTATTTTCTTTTCTATACCAAAAACGAAGGAAATGCATTAAATTACTATATCAAATTATCAATTTACTGTTCTTTTACGAAACAAAATTTCTCTTAATCATGTACATTGGACATCATTCCATAGGCCGCTTACGCATGGTATGCATAGACTATCGCATGGAATGCCGTTATCACGCACTGGGGCATGGATCGCTCTACTTGTAATATTAAAAAATAGGGGTCTCCTATACTAATATTTATTAGTATAGGAGACTCTATTTTTTAAAATTACAAGTAAAGCGATCCATGCCCCTGTGATCACATTAAACAAAAATATATAAGCTTGTCAGTACACGCTGCCGTAGTTCAAATTCAAATTCATTTATTGACTTAANAACACAATCTGGAAATGTTAGTCATGATCTAGACTGGTGGCCAGTACGTAAAATAGATAACATAGTTAAGGTCATATGGACAGGAATACGTACAGCGGAAGTGTTTGTGTGGTCATTCTTTTTGTTTGATATACATGTATTTATGTGTACACGGTTCAATATTATACTAGGACACTAGATGATGTCGACAGTGTGGACAAAATATAATCGAATTACTGAGGGGACATCATATCCTGTAAGTTACCACTGTTTGTTTATGTAGTTGTTTTTTTTATTTCATTGTGACTGTTTATCTCTGTTATCTGTTGTGATATGTACATTTCCATGTTGATAAAGCGGCGGATAGACCTTACAAATTTGACAAATTGCTTTGTCTGCACTGTCGTTATGACCCATATATCTATTTAAGTAATACGCATCCAACCAGCAATCGTATGTTCGGATCCAGTGCCAATATTGGATGATACTGTCGTTATTACTTATGAGACCTATATTTTCATATAAGTTATATTATATGGTTCCATTGCAAATATTGAAATGCACTGGTATCATGATATCTATATGAAAAATTATGAATGTTGAAAGATGCAAGTTTTAAGTCGTTCGTTATATCTTATTTATTCTATAAATATTATCAAGATGAACTCCTTTAGAGGGTTCTGCGATATGAATAATCTATAGCTACAGATATATTATTATTGTTCTTAAAAAAGTCTACTTGTGTTGAAACTATTCCTTATTATATCGTCAACACTATGAATATTACACCTATATTGTGTATATACTCTTTGTCTGATATATGAAATGTATAGTTATACTGTTAATGTTAATCATGACATTATAATTGTTTGAAAATAAATGTATAATGATCATACATGATCATCCAATTGCTTATACAAGTATAACGTATAAATATTATATACTCAATGTAATTAAGAAAGTAGTACATATCAAATTTGTCTCAAAAACTGTTTAGGTTTGTACTTCCATTAGCCTCAACAGACCAGGATTAAATTCTCATATCAAACTTTTGGTGCAATTTTTGATATTTTTCTGATTACTTCTAAAAGATCGGACTTAGGCAAGTCTAATACCACGGAAGGCGCCAATGCACGTGACGACATCTTTTCTTGTGTGATGTCATTTTGTTAGATAAACAACTGTTTTGTATTAATCAATCAACGCTAAAACAATATGATATATAACTTAATGTCTATTTTAATCCAAAACTTCTGAAAACAAGAGGCCCAAATGGCCTGGACCTGGTATTAATCTCACACTTGTAACCTTAAAATTGATCTAAAATAAAGCTACAATCAAAATTTCAGTATTTATGACTATAAGTCATTCCAAAGAACCTGTTAAAAGATTTTAAAACGTTTGACCCCTGTGACCTTGAAAGTTGAACAAGGTCATTACGTTGAACAGGGGTTATAGCCCTTCACCTCAGCATGCAGCTTGAAAAATGTCACCACACTAGACATTTTGTTTGTTGAGATTACGTCATTTCAAACATATTGACCCCTGTGACTTTGAATATTAGTCAAGGTCATTACGTTGAACAAACCTGGTAGCCCTTCATCCTAGCATGTTACTGGTCAGATATTATCACCCTGTGCCTTTGGTTAACAGAAGAAGTCGTTTAAAGATTTTAAATATATTGACCCTATGACCTTGAATATAGGTCAAGGTCATTCATTTGAACAAACTTGGTAGCCCTTTGTCAAAGCTTGTTACTGACCAACTATCATTATCCGGCACCTTCTAGTTCATCAGAAGAAGTTGGTTTAAGATTTTAAACATATTTGACTCCTGTGACATAGGATATGAGTGAAGGTGATTCATTTTAACAAACTTGATAGCCATTCATGCTAGTATGCTACTGGCTAGGTATCACCATCCAAGTCCTTATGATTATTCAGAAGAAGTTGTTTGAACTTTTTAAAGAGAATTGAACCCAGTGACCTTGGATATAGGTGAAGATCATTCATTTGAACAAAGTTTGTAGTGCTTTATCCCAGCATGCTACTGCCCAAATATCATCATCCTGGGCATTTCGGTTATTCAGAAGAAGTTGTTTAAATTAAAATCTTGACGCCGGACGACGGGTGAGCTTAAAGCATTTGTAACAGTTTATAGATGTTTAACTATTTCCCGCACTGATTATCTGACATATTTATACACCAACCGAAAAGTTATGGAAAATAATCCTCGTAATCTTTATTAGGTATATTGAATCCAAGTTCAAAACAAAATATATTATTTATATTTTACGTCTGAGATATGTTACATATGATAAATGTACACAGCTAGATAAATAGCCTATAGACCACATTTTTAACATTTATAGAAAAAAAAATAGATTTTTTTTTATAAACATTTAGGTTAGTGTTGAATATCGTCAATCAGTCGTGTATGGTTTGGATATTTATGTCGACTATCATGCTGATTTGATTTTTTTCCAACTTTACTGTCCGTTTCTTGTTTCATCGTGTACACGCCGTATATAAACTGTTTCAGTGACATTAGGGAAACTTTTTACGTCCTCATTTCTAGTAAATGTCACTAGTGGGTTTTGCATTATGATTTTAAAATGCGGTACTCGACCGTATTAAGTGTATTACTTCTATTGTATGAACAAAATATAAGTCATAACAGGAAATAACAAAATATGGTTACAAGTACAACCCTTATGTAACGTTATATCAATAAATGATGCTATGTAAACAAAGTATAACTATTTTCCTCTCTTGCCAACAGGAAACTATGAAACCGTTTAGAAATTATAGTATATTATTGCACGAGGATAGTGATGGGTACCATAGTTTTTACCCTCCAGAATACATGTTTCGTTTTTGCTTCTATAACACTTATGATATTTTATGCTGGTATCCCTTCAAATCTTCTGATTACGTTTCAATGTTATTTTCTATTTACTATGATAAATTATCTAAACGTCATTTGTTAATGATTTTGATGATTTTTGTTTACATGTTGTATGCCGGATATCACTTTCAATGACTAGACAAATGCTTATGGCTATGTCACATGATTTCAGCAAGTTAAAAGAAATCCGGTTTGAGCACAGAACCCATTATTTAGCATGAGAAAGGAAACGGACACTTGGGCATGTGTCCATGTAATTTACCATTGTTTTACTACCTTTACTTAACGTTAAGGAACGATACACAAGCTATATAATTATGGAATCAGCGCGAAAACTGTTAAATGGATAGAAAACTTTTTAAGTGATAGACATCAAAAAGTAGTGGTTAACGGATCTACATCCAAATTACAGAACGTCTTAAGCGGAATTCCTCAGGGGAGTGTTTTAGGACCAATACTATTTGTTATGTATATCAATGACATGCCCGAGAACACTGCGTCATCGTGCCCTCTATTCGCGGATGATACTAAATTATACCGCAAGATACGAACTGATGAGGATAAGGAAATTCTACAAGCAGATTTGAATAATCTTCAAAAATGGTCTGATGATTGGCTTCTGAAATTTCATCCGAATAAATGCAAGGTTCTTCAGGTTAAAGGATCACCAAACAATAATAGAACATACCGTCTCGCGAGCAAAACTGGAGAAGTCGTACTTGACAAAATCAACAGTGAAAAAGATTTAGGAGTAACGGTGGATGCAAACCTGGACTTTCGGACCCACATTCAAAACTCAATAAATAAAGCTAATTCAGTACTCGGGATTATTAGAAGATCATTTACTTTTTTTGGACGAATCGATTTTTAGACAGTTATATAAGGCTCTGGTAAGACCGCATCTAGAATAGCAGCCAGTGCGTGGAGTCCGTATAAACTTAAAGATATCCAGATGATAGAGAATGTACAACGGAGAGCCACTAAGCTTCTACCTGGATATAAAAAAAATCTCCTACGAAGAACGTTTAGAAAAATTAAAACTACCGACACTAAAACACCGAAGGACTAGAGGTGATTTGATTAACGTTTTCAAGATTGTGAAGAGAAAGTTTGATTAGAAAGTCACGTCAGACATATTTGTCTACGATAATAACGAAAGAACATGAGGACATAAATTTAAGCTGTATAAACAACGATGTAGTACAGAGCTAAGGAAAAACTCTTTCACGTTTAGGGTAGTTGATATCTGGAACGGTCTACCGGAATCGGTTGTAAATGCAGAAACCACGAAGGACTTTTAGATCCTGTTGGATAACCATCTGAAGGACACTATTTACAATAATTACTGATAATGACTTTTAAAATGACTCTTTTGGGAAAGTTTATATATGTTAACCAGTGACAATACAATATTTGTATACTATGTTTTGTGATATGGACTTAGATGCTTTCAGCCTGCGTCCATTATTTTTCAATTAAATCAATTAAATTCAATCAATTAAAATAGCTATGACCACCAATATGCAAGTGCTGATGTGCTTCCTCCGGTAGTGCCTTAATATTACCTTGTGACCTTTTAACTTAAAACTTATAGATTTTTTTGTTTTATTTGTGTTCACCATATTAAAGTTTATAGAACATGTAATACTATGTCCCGTCTATTACGAATGGGACGTGTGTTATTTATCATAATTTATCATATGTAATATCACGTCTAGACCTATCGGCCAGCGATTTGTTAATAAACCTGAAATAATACTCATGAAAACTAAACATTTAAAAGAACTTAAAACTTAACTTAACTTAGAATAAAAGGAAATGTTAATAAGTGTATACCTAGGGTGTTCGGGTAGGGCAGTGGATAGCGAAACCTCCTTTCATCAAGACGGTAGAGGTTCGACTCCGCGATCGGACGTGAAAAGGTATGGGTCATCTGCCCGAGCACGTAGATTTATTTCCGGGTACTCCGGTTTCCTCCAATATAAAGACACCTGCGCGCTTCCATACGGGCCAACAAGAGTGATGAAAGGGGCTATTTAGTCAAACGACACCCTAAAAATTGAGTAGAGACTGAAAATAAAGATATATCTTGTTTTATCTTTTTGGAAAGCCGTTGATAAAAATAGCAATATCTGGACTTTTCAAAACACAGTGTAAGTTATGAGTTAGATTTCACACGTAACACATTCTTTCCGCTTTCAATTTACACATCTCATCGCATGCATAAAACATTGTCTCTTTTCAATTTCTAGACATGAATTGTTCATTAGAAGTATCAAGCTATATTTTCATTCGGAATGTTGTGATTAGATAATAACAAATAACTCATTTTACTAAATTGTCCCTTTA